TGTTGTATCTGACTCATCATCAGATTTTGGTGAAGAGATTTCCATTGGGAGGTCTCTACTGCCTCTTGATGTTTCTGCCGTTTGTTCATCTGTTGGTGCTTTTTTTGATACAGTTGCGGCTTTTTTTGCCGTTGTTGCTTTAGTTAGTGTTTTTTGCTGCTGTTTTTGGTGTTGCTGCAGGTGTTGTTGTTTCTGTTGTTGTTTCTGATGCTGGTACTGCCATTCCTTTGTCAGCAGATTGAATAGTTTCATTAGGGCTATGTAGGGCGATTCTTCTTCTTCTTCTTCTTCTTCTCCTTCTTTTTCTTCTTTGTCTTCTTCATTCTTTCTTCTTCTCTTTGTGTATAATACGTTTCTATTATAATTACCTCTTTTTCTTTTAATTCCCACATGAAGTATCTGAGCACCTGAACCTCTGCTTGCATGACTTTGCTTGGCACCTAAATCTCCGCTTTCAAGACTTTGCTCGGCACTTGAACTCTGATTTCAAGACTTTGCTCGGCACTTGAACTCTGATTTCAAGACTTTGCTCGGCACTAATTTCTGTACAACTTTGCTCGTCACTAATTTCCATAGGACTTTGCTCAGCACCCAAAACTCTGCTCTCACTATGTTTTCGTTCACTCCTACTTTTTTTCTTACTTTTCTTATCTTTACGTGGATCTTCGTCTCCAGTGTCAAAGTCTGCATCAAATTCAATATCTGAAAGGTTGTATCTAGTAATAGCTTCATCGGATAGTGCCCATCTTGGGCAATCTGCTGGTGGTTCCCCTCTTCTATCCACATTTCCCAAATAATGGTACTCGTGCATCTTGGTATTTATGGGCTGCAGTTGTTTTACAAACGGGTCTATACGCTTATGTAAAAGCCGTTTTAACTAAATAATATTAGGCTGATAGGCTTATTAATTTAACATTCATATATAAATAAATAAAAAATATATATATATACATACATGAGGTCCTCGCCACCATTTATCGATATAAACTAACCTCTTGACCTTCTTTCCTGCTGCCTCTGTCGCTTCTTCATCCATTTTCCACTCTTCATTAGATTAATAAGCATTTCCACCTCTACTCTGAGTTATCAACTCCAAATCTGCCTTCTTGTATCTTTTTATTTGTTTATTTCCAGCTTTTAGAAGAAATGACACTGATTTTTGTCTCCTTCTCCTCTTTTAAATTATTAAAAATACTAACTTAAATTAGAATATTTCTCTGAAAATTATTTCATCTACAAATCACTTAGCCGATATATCTGCTAAGTGATTTGTAGATGAAATAACTTTCGAGGAATTGATTTAGAAAAAATGATTAAAACAAATTTTATGTTATGCTTATATTATTCACTTTACTATTTTTGTCTATTCTTTCTCGATTATGTTTTTTTAATGCCGGATTGGCATTAATTGTAGCCATTCTTCTTTGGGTTTTATGATGCTGCTTTAAAATTTTTTCTATCACAGCAGAATTTTGCTAATAGACTAGCAATTTCTTTATTATATCCAGAATAAGCTTACGCCAAATATTATGTGATTGTTCTCTCCACTTTTTACTTGGATCCAGCTTGAGGTTAGCCAAAGCACCACCTTCAATTAATACTCTTACTTCGTCCTTTTATTAATAATTATAAAAAAAAAAAAAAAAAAAAAAAGTTAAGACAAAATATTTAAGCTGATATAGTAAATATATTTACCTGTAAATGTATCTTTTGCTCCTCTGTCAATACTGTTAATGCATCTTCACTTGAGCTGCTGCTATTGCTGCTAGACCTGCTAGAGCTTTTATTTCTACTTCTACTAGCTAATCTTTCTTTCGTTCTATGGCTCCTACTGCCCGACTTATTTTTCTTACTATCTCTTCTACTAACTGATCTACCTCTATTTTCTTTTTCATTCTCACTACTTGAGCTACTTGAACCTGAAGATGATGCCAACAGCACTTCTCTTCCTTTCCCTTTACCAAATACAGAAGCGACAGCTTTTGCAACAGCTGTCGCAATAAGATTCACACTCACTAATAATTATTAATTTTATATTAATGCTCAATAAATTACAATTATCACCGTTGTATAACATTCTTTCATTTTGGTTTTTTAAGTTTATGTGATTTAGACTTTCAGGTTTTTTTGCTGCTTCCGGCTTTTGAGAGCTTTTTTTCTTTAGTCATTTTGTTAATTGAAATGAAATATTGACAAAATTCAAAATTCTTATAATACCATCCTTTATTAATATCTTATCTATATTACCCTAAAATCATAAATTAAAAAAAATTACTTTATTAGGAAGATATGCACAAGAACTTATCAATTACCTGATTAGGTTTCTAACTTATCATTATATGATTTTGGCGAATTTTCATTATTAAATATGTAGGGTAAAAATATAACAATAAAAAATCATATTAATATCACTTTAATATCATTAATTAATTGCTGATTAATTAAAAATAATATACCTTTTGCTTGGAAGATATGTGAACGAACATCTCAATTACCGGATTTAGTAGTTATGCGATTTTGGCAATTTTCATTATTAAATATGTAGAGTAAAAATATAACAATAAAAAAAATCATATTAATATCAATTTAATATTATTAATTAATTACTGATTATATTAAAATAATTATATACCTTTTACTCAGAAGATATGTAGACGAATATCTCAATTACCAGATTTGGTAGTTATGCAATTTCAGCGATTTTTTATTATTAAATATGTAGAGTAAAAATAAAACAATAAAAATATTATATTAATATTATTTTAATATCATTAATTAATTACTGATTATATTAAAATAATTATATACCTTTTGCTCAAAAGATATTTAAATGAACATCTCAATTATTGGATTTAGTAGTAATACTGATTTCGGCAATTTTTCATTATTAAATATGCGGAGTAAAAATAAATCAATAAAAAAATATATTAATATCGCCGTAATATCATTAATTAATTACTGATTACATTAAAATAATACTATACCTTTCACTTAGAAGATTTTTAATGAACATCTCAATTACCAGATTTAGTAGTAATACTGATTTCGGCGATTTTTCAATATTAAATATAATAAAAATCAAACAATAAAAAAATATATTAATATCGCCTTAATATCATTAATTAATACCAATTACATTAAAATAATTATATACCTTTCTACAGGTAAGAACGTCCCAAATATGGAATATGGTTATACAAATATTGAATGATTGTCACCTGCTAATCAGCCAATCAAAATCTTAAAATCTTTTAAAGAAAAAATAACAAAATCGAAACAATATCGAAGAAATTTAATTAAAATTTATATATAAATAATCAAAATAAATGCTATAACAAGTAAACAAATATGCTTTTATTAATTTAAATCATTTTTAACTATAACAGATAATACAATATTATAATCGTCGTTATTTAAAAATTTTATGATCTATATATTCGATTCTATATCTCTATATATTCGATTCTATATCTAATAAACCCAACATTTTATTATTATTTATGATTATTCTATCAAAGAAAACTTTAATATGATTTTTGCTTTACATATCATATTACATATGTATATACAAAAGTCTATCACATTCTAAAAATTTTTGCAATAAGAAAAATAAATAGCGAAGTTAATAAATATAATTTATATGCTTTAAATTAAAAAAAATTCATATAACGTATACAATAAAATCAAACAGGCTAAAATTTAAATCTATCCCTTAATATGTAGACCAACGCAGGCAAATTTGCCTGCGTTTTTTGCACTTTTTTAGCTCTGATTTACTTTTTTAAAATGCTAAAATATTTAAATAAAACTTTGCACAATT